CCGAAGCCCCTGAGTGCCCGCACTTGGTGCGTGAGCTGCCCTCCAGGAGCGTGTTTGGCTTCCTGACCGTTCTGTTTCTTCTAGTGGTTGTTCGTGGGTGGTTTTGTTGGTTACTTGTTATTTTGGTGTTTGTTTGTTTGTTTTAATTCCCTTTTCCATGCCCTTTCTTGTCTCGTTTTTTTAGGTTCTGTTTATTTTTAATTGTTTATAGCAGCCTGATTTATCGGCTTTATGCCGGTAGGTCCAAGCCAAAGCTAACTTCGGTTTTTTTAGTCCTTTAAATGCTTCTGGCACCTTAAAACAATTGATTGTCTCTTCCTAAAGCCTTCAACATGACCCTAAAATGTCAAAATTATGGTTTCATTATTTCCCTTAATTTTTCATCTCCCTCTCTTTTTTTCAGGTGTAGCTTAGTGTTATGGGTGATACAGAAGAAGGTAAAATGCAGATAGCACCAGAAACTCCAGGACGAGTTGCAATCCTGAATCCATTTGAAAGTCCCAGTGATTATTACACTCTTCAGGAGCAGATTGTCTCCAGTCCTTCAGTCTTTAAGTCAACAAAGTCCTCATCAGTAAGATCTAGTCTTTAGTTGTTTAAGTATATACGTGGAACGTTAATATTTTCAAATGCATTTAAAAGGATATTTTTTTAGTGTACTTTAATGTATATACTAAGCCGAAGAATTCTGGTAGCGTTTGGAGTTTCTTCTCTTTACAGAAATATGCTGCTTTTAATACTAACATTGTTGCTTAGTCTTCCTACCTTTCTAAATTTATCTAATTTAGTCCTTAGATATTAAGTGATTGAGTGCTAAAAAAGCCCCAGTTCCTAAATAATAAAACTTAGTTGCATTTCTGCTATGAGCTGTTTATGCATTCAAATTATTGATTTTGTGTATATATAACTTGTTGTTGCAAATTACATTTTGGTTTTCAGTTGAAATTATTTGCTGGTAAGCAGTAGAGAAGATACCGTACTAATGAAACTAAAAAGACTTGGTAGATAATTTTTCAAATGTATTTGAACAGTTCTTGCTAATTGTTAAATAAAGGAGTGAAGCTGCTTTATTTCTGACTTGGGTTTTGTTGTGCACTATTCACGGCATTATGAGAGGGACTTTGCAAGATGCATATGAGGTTGCAACTCTTCAGTCTTTGACATGGGAGGTGAAAGGAAGACTTCTCTTTTATTGGATAACATGGTTTAGGTACAGACACTGGGTGTTCATGGAACTACAATTTGGATTGTGGCAATCTAAAACCGACTAAATTTTATCCCAAGTTATGTATCTTTAGTAGATCTATCCTCAGATATTGAGAAGAAACTGACACCTCAGTTTGTAAATATTAGCTATAACTTTCCATTTAATATTATCTTGTAAATCACTGTAATACCACTACCAGAGTAAGAAGCTTGACTGACTTAATAATTTTCTTTTAAAAGTAGATAATTTAAATAGAAACTCTTTTGATTGTCCGAAACTATATGGGAGCAGTGATTGCGTTGTTCCACTGAGATTAGTCCTGTAGTTCTATTTTTATCTTTTTAGAATAGTAAGCATTAAGATGCCTGTTTCTTTTTTTTTCAGACACCAGGAAAATTTAGATGGTCTATTGATCAGCTTGCTCTGATAAATCCTGTGGAAATCGACTCAGAAGATGTTCGACGCCAAGCAATGTATTTGAGCCATGCTAGGTAACTTTGCAATCAGTTTTTATGCAGTTAACTTAGCATTAGTACTAGAACACTCTTCTTTTGCTTTATTAACATTTCAGCATAGCATTAAAGACTTTTTATTGAAATGTTTTAACATAAATTTTTACACGTCTGTGATGTGGATATAATATTTAAATGAGGCTTCCTTGCTGTTCCTTCTTTTCGATGTTAAGAACCGCTGATCCACTCTGATTACAGTTTGGAAGACAGTCAGATAAAAGGAGTCAATGGAAGCAAGAAAATATCTTGCCGGTGATTGTTACCAGGCTACCTCTTCTGTTCCTTGTTACAACACAGTTTATCTTCTCTGAGTATTCCTCCTGCAGAAGGGTAGAGCTGGGAAAGATACCTAGGGAAGCCAGCACTCCCTTTCAAAGGTATAGATTAGACTTAACATGAAGGAGGGGGGACAATGCTAGTTACTTGAAGTAGTTTGGGAACCTTATCTCAACTTTTCCCTTTCTCTGAAAATAATTTTCGTGGGGAAAATGAGTAGGTAAAATAGGCTTGGTATTTGGAGCTTATCTTGAGGTTAATTTACATACCAGTAGTACAGAACAACATGTCAAGTGAAGGTAGTCAAGGGAGGCCATAGTGGTGAACCCTGTAGACACTCCTGTATCTTTTTCAGATAAAAATTCCACAAAAAATTGCATCTCGTGGCATGAAGCATCATAGTAATAGGATAATAAACCAATCTTCCGTCCTGTCTAGATCAGGTCGCTCAGATCTAAGGGGCGTCTAACTCCTCTCCAAGCAACCTGTTCCAGTGTTTCAACACCCTCCTCCTAAAAAATACAGTGAAATAGACTTACTGTTCTTAGTGTCTGATTGAACCTGCATCTCTCTTTTTGAATAAGAGAAGCTGTAGAAGGAATATAACTGTCCTCAGCTATATCTGTGAATCACCATGTCCTAATGTCAATATTTTTGTTCTTAATAGCCTGGCCTTTCCTGGCCTTCCTCTAGCAGCCAGTAGGTTTCAGACTCTAATGCTTTTTATATGTTATAAAGCCTTAAGCCCTATGTTTTTTAGGGAGTCGATTACACTGTTTCTGGAAGCCTATTTGGACACACAGAAACGGGATGGTTTAGGTGACATGGCCTACAGATGTGTTGTCTCAGTGGGTCCTTTTAGTCTGTCCCACTGTTTCATACCCACTGTGACTTTTTTTTTTTTTTAAGTCATTTCCTCTGACTAGAAAGAGGCTGGTTTGACTATGTGTAGATTTGCTGTGTCCATGCTTGCATGTTTCAGTGTGGTACAGATGGAGGTTGTTATTTCTGATGGCTGCAAGCTGTACATGGTTAAATACATATATGAGTGTGTGTGTGTGTGTGTAGGATTTTGTGTAAAAACTTAATTTAGATTTCATAAATACAGTTTTATGGAAACAAAAGTGTCATAAATACAGCTCTTGATGTTGAAAGTTCATGATAAAAGAATTGAGTTTTTGAAGCCCATGCATAATGTTACATGCACTATATACTCTTGTTAAAAGAGTAATTAATTTATAATGCTTGTTATCAAGTAATTTTCTGAATTAATTGAAAACAACCACAAGCATAGGTAATTCCACGTATAACTATTTCAAACTGTGAAATCTCTATAATACAGTAAAACAGTCTTAGGAGCAGCACAGTGTAAAACCTTGGAAAAGTCTGACTGTGGAACACATATAGACTTGATTTTGTGTAGTGTTACTGTTTCCAGTTTATTAAACTGCTTATAAGATGTTTAGGAGAATACTTTTCTGGCAGACTTGTTGGTGAAAAATAGTCTGTCAATAGCTGAGCAGACACATTGACACAATCTTGTCCACAAACTTTCCCCTTCCTTTTTTATTTCTACTGATAGAAGTTGAATGTTTCTAAATTGGATGCTATGCTATTATTCGTTAATTATTAAAAGATGTCTTTCTGCATCGTGCATACTTTGTGCCACAGTTGCAAGTGCTGTGTTGCTTGAATTTGCATACAAGACTGGCTTGGTTTTATTCTTGTTAAATACATATGACATTTTCACTTTGTTATTTTCCTGGAGTTATGCACTGAAGAAAAAAGGTCCTCTTTTGCACTAACCAGCACTTTTAGTGGGAGCTGTTTTCCCAGTTCCTCTGTTTGCTTATTACTTGTCATCCACTATGCATAAATATACAGTGATTGTGTGCTTATTCTTTTTTGGTATAGTAACTGAAATTTGTGCAAGTATCTTCATAGAACTGTCACTTTAGCATCATCTTGGCAGACATACTTGAAGATGGTGTGCCCAAGCATTTTAGATACATTCAAAGTGTGATAAGCATGAAAGAATGAACTGTGAAAGAGAATTTATGTATTAGGCACATCTGTGTGTGTTTGCGTAGCTAATAATGTTGTGTTGTCTGACTGATTTCTAAAATTATTCAAGGCTAATTCAAGTATACTATCTGCATATGAAACCATTATGCAATTCAGCTAAGACTATGAGGGACATTTGTAAGCTTCAAAAAATTTTACCATAAATTCCATAGTAGTAACTGAGTGAGACTAGGAGGTGACCATTAGAGGAAATATAAATATAGAATCTCGCACATCATGGCTGAAGTAACTACAATATTTTTTTTTAAAAGACAGGTTAAAAGCTGCATAAGAGAATGTGTTCATTGTTAGAAACTGAAATATGACGTTATATTCTAAACTGAAGAAAATAAGGCAGACTATCTATTTGGCAGAGAGAACTCTGCTGGGAAAGTGGGCTGCGTCAGGAATTTGAGTTTGCAAATTCCAGGAGTGTCTTCAGTTGCCCTTCAATTCCTTGTAGCCCAGTTTTTTATTCTGCCTGGTTTTATAGTGTAAGACTAATCTCACTGTAACTAATAGTAAAATCTATTCATATGACATAATTTTGGAAGATCAGAAGTGACTGAGTTTTTGTCTAGACTTGCTGATACAAGGAGTAAATAGATGATTTGCAAATGTGTACTTATAAATAGTACAGATCTTTTTCAAATGAACTGAACCGAAAATTGCATTTATATTTCTAAATTTATAGTATAAAATGATTGTGCATAACAGTAAAAACAATCTTACGATTTAGGGTTTAGTGCAATTTCATTTATAAAGTTCCTCTTGAGCATCTATAAATTATTATACGGTTGGACTTTACATTTTTTCTTACTTATGTGATGGTTTTGATAATTGAGTTGTCTTTCATTTGTTACTTAGAATTGATAAGGAGACAGAAGACAGAAGGCAAAAAGCTATTGAGGAGGTAATAAAACTTTGTGCTATCAAATATTGTTTTGTTTTTTGTCCAAAAAAAGGTCCACATGTATTATAGGATTTCAAAACTCAAAAGCCTGTTATATTTCAGTAATAAAGTGATTTCGCATCCTCATCCATTGTAGTTGGAATCCACATGTTCTTTTTCTTCCCATCTTTTTTCACACACCTGTAGGACAAAACAACAGATTTTTTTTCTTTCCTGTAGCTTGGCGAGTGTAGCTGTAAGCTAACTTATAAATAGTTAACTTCAGGTTACAAATAATGATTGAGCATTTGGGGATTTACAGTAGCCATTAGTGGTTTATTGCATTTTTAAAAATATTGCAGAATTTTGTGATTTCTTTTGTTCCTTCCAAAGTCTAGTTCTTAGTTGGATGTACATCTTAGTTGGATGTACAACTTTATTGTCGTAGCTTGTATATATTTCCATCCTTTTTTCGTTTTATTTTTTACTAGCCGTTTGTACAGCAGAGAAAGACAAGTCTTTGTGAGGTATAACCTAATAGATTCTGCAGCTGAACAGCTTGAAACCATGTCTCTAATAAAAATTACATCTTTAATAGTTGTGTTTCAAGCTGAGTTTTTTTCTTTTACTTTGAGTCTTGCATTTATTGTGAAAACAAGATTTGCCATGTGTTTCTTGAAGCTATGTAATAGTGTTCATCTCCTCAGCATCAGGGTGTTCCATAGTGCAGCTGTGATGATAGATACAATTTCTGGTTCAAAGAAAAAGACTGAAATGCCAGTAACTCATAGATGTTTCACTGCTAACCAATTTAGCCAAATACATTAATAATGTTGCCAAAAAGCCTTGGTTTATCACTTTTGCTGCAGTGTCTCTTTATCACTTCTGTGAAATAGCTCAATTGTCAAAATACAACTTGACAAACTGAAAATTTGTAAAGAATTATTTTAAACTACTGTGCAATTAGTGAGGCAGTGGCAGTTCAAATTTTTAAATGAGTAATTATTAAATGAAACTTTTCTTCAGTTTTCACTGTGAAAGATCTGCGGTGCTATGTGTCATAAAGAATATGGGGATCTTCAACTTATTTTTTTTTTTAATCTCTCTGGGCCTGAAATAATGAAATAAGTTCTGCAGTTTTTCTCGTTCAAGGTACTGATCTAAATTTAAGTTGAGAATCACCAACTTTTTAAAAGTGCTGAGATGCTTATTTTTATTCTGCTCTAGTTTTTCACAAAAAGGCTCATAGTTCCTTCTCCTTGGATTGAACATGAAGGCAAACAAGTTTCTCAATTTAATTCAACTAAATGTAAGTTGCTTTTGTGTGTCTGTCCAAAATAGTTTAGCTTTTGGAGAAATTATCAAGCATAATTTGTTTCAATCTTAATTTAAATTTTAAGAACTGGTGATAAAATATGGCACAACTGATAGATTTTCAGCTGTTCTTTCCAAGTGCTCTCTTTAAGAATTATTTATTAATCAAGTCTTGTATAGTTTTTCCTTTTTATTATTTTTGGTTCTTGTTCTTAAATCTTTTTACTTTAATAAACTTTTTTTAAACTAATTTAATTTGCATACAGAATTGCAGTGTTGATACTGGTAATAGCCAAATGTTCTACTTTGCTTTTTATTTCTGATATTTGCATGTCCTCCTTATTCTGACTGCTTTCCTCACCATATAAGCATATGGGAAATGGAGTTCCATATTTTTTTACCCTTGCCGTTGTTGCTAAGACCTGTTGTCGTCTTAGTGTCGTGCTAACTCATAGTCACTGCTCCTGGGTTTCCTAAGTTCATTATGGTTATGCCCATGTGAGATTTTATTCTTAATGCTATTGTTACTGAAGTTTATATATAACCAGCAGAATACATAGTAAATGGACTACAAGCTGGACAAATGTCAGATATAAAGTATTGTTGGGTAGGAAATTCTTAAATAAGTGGTGATTTTTCAAGATTTGGAAAAGGCTAAACTTAAATGGTTTTTATCAAGGAGATGCAGCTTGTTGATAGTGTATTTTTAATTGTGAGTTGTAAGATCATCATTTTTTGAGCAGATAACATGAGCCACAATCTGAGATCTGGAAAAGTGAGCGGTAAAGGAAGATGGTCTAATGTGTTCTTTAGCTGTATAAAAAACCTGAAATATTTCTTCACCTCAAGTCCAGACTGAGTGATTTTATAGAAATGTGTTCTACTTGAACACAGCCTGTTTAGCTAAGTGTAAACTAGTTTGTTTTAAATCTCTAATGTAGAGAAGGCTGCAGGAGACAAAGGTCTGATCAACGCTGATGGTATTTCACTATGCTTTGTTTGAATAGAAAGGTGCTGAAATTCTCTTAATCAGCTATAATGGTAACATTTTTTCAGTACTCCTTTTTAATCTCTTCCAAACTTTGAGGCAAAAATTTTCTTTAGTTGTATTAAATATTTTAACTCTATATGCAATGCATGCTTAAATTTAAGTTCTTCTGTGGTTTACAGCCATTGATCTAAATAACATTTCTCCAATTGGAAGACAGCTAAGCTTGCAGCCTGGAAAGAGCAATGGTGAGTAAAAGGCAATGTCTGAAATTACAGGCTTTCTCTGAAGCAAAATAACCCATTTTAAATGGCTGTTTAATTTAAAAGGGGAATTATTTGTTTGTTAATATTCCTCTAGAAATAGTTTTTCTTGAACTGAATGGTACTATTAATTTTAATGTCCATTTCTCATAGTAATTTAATTCTGTTATACTCTCTGGTATTTTTTCTGAAGTAAAAAATGAAGTCCCCTGTAAGACTGTGGGGTGCATTTTTTCCAGCTCAGTGTATGCACTTTTTCTGAATTTAGAGGTGAATATAAACCTCAGGTTTGTGGGTAAATTACAGTTTCAAGAAACCTGTAATGTGTTGGATTGTTAAGGGTTAGAGAATCTTGATTATTTTCTATGCCAAACAAATAGCAGAAATCTTAATACATCTTTTAAACTATATCATTTTAGATAAATAGGTAGTGTTTTTCCCCAGGGTAATTTGATGATTTTTCTCTCATTTCCTTTTGAATCCTTCCTTTCTTCAGAGACCTCTTTCCTCAGTTAACATAAAAGCCTCTAGAGAGGCATTCTTACAACTCCTGGGTTTTTTATCTCTAGGCCTAATGTGCTGCATATAGTGTTGTCAAATCAGAATCACAGCTTTAATTAACACTTTTCCTTATTGCAGCTGTAATTTAAATAGCTCAATTGTGGTGCGATTTGAAAGTGAATGTTTGTCTACAGTTTTAGTAAAAGGTCACTAAGCTAATTTTGTTGGTTTTATTCATTGCAGCTGCTTGTCAGACAGTACTGTCTTTGCCAGTGGATATTAATTTAGAGAAAATACTAGGTATGTCATGCAATATCTGTATTTATGAATGTCTAAATGTTTGCTGGGTGTTTTTGTCTTATGAAATACTGAGAACCAAATGAATGAACAAGTTTTAAGTATGTGTTCTAAATGGACAGTGTGTGTTGCACAGGACATGACTTAAATGATATGATTTGAGTGTGGACGTAAAGACAGAAAAGGAGGGATATGGAGGACAACTGGAAATTGTTCAGCCTGGAGGATACTGAGGGGAGACCTCATTGCAGTATACAGCTTCGTCATAAAGGGAAGCAGAGGGGCAGGCACTGATCTCTTCCCTGCGATGACCAGTGACAGGACCTGAGGGAATGCCCTAAGTTTTGTCAGGGGAGGTTTAGATTGGATATTAGAAAAAGGTTCTTTACCCAGAGGATGGTTGGGCACTGGAGAAGGCTCCCTAGGGAAGTGGTCACAGCACCAAGCCTACCAGAGTTCAAGAAGTGTTTGGATGGTACTTTCAGGGACATGGTGTGACTCTTGGGGATGGTCCTGTGCAGGACCAGGAGTTGGACTTGATGATCCTTGTGGGTCCCTTCCAACTCAGGATATTCTATGATTCTGTGAAATTGATTAACAGTTAACAAATGCATAAAAGGTAGTAAGCAGAAGATAACTATTGCCTCCCCCAAACAGAGCAGTTACTTAACTCAGCAGAGCTGTTTGCCTTACAGATGACTGGTTGTGAGACTCATAGCCCAACCTTACCTTAAGTAAAGCTTTGCTGTAACCCTGCCTTTAATTTAACTGAAACCATGGTGGTGACTAGAAGTTATGTGATAGCAAAAAAGCCATGACTGTTGAGTGAGGATGCAACAGAGGCAACAGTCCACATTAACTCTCTGATTATAAATGCTACGTCAAGCAATTGCTGCCACCTTCTCAAGCTTCTCAGGCTGGAAAGGCCTGTTCTTACTGCTCATGTGGGAACAGTGGGTACAACCAGCTCAGAGGGTTTCGTCTGCGTGCAGCTATCCCAGTATTGAATTTCACAACCCTGACTGTGGGTCATCAAAATTAAAACAGAAAAGCAATACCATATTATTGCCTTTGTTTTTTGTCTTAACAAATGCTTCCATCAACTCATAATTTTTGAGTTCATTAAAAATTTCTTCTACAAGGAATATCCAGTTAGTTTAGTTTTTCTTGGGTAGTAAAATAATCACTTTTGCACTTTTGCAACTCAGATGTGAGGAATTGGGAAAAGACCAGTAAGTAGATGCTAGCCTATATATATACTTTTTTTTTTTAATTCAGACCCTAGTATTAAGCGATGATAAGCAGAAGTGGAACCTTTGTGGACAGAGTGGACTTTTTGTAGTGGCAACAAGCAATCCTTTGGGATAGGTGCCTAATTAGATTAATGATTTGCTGCATTGATCAATTGGATTAAATGCTTTAATTTAGTTATATATCTCTCTGTAGTAAGATTTTTTTTTTCTGCATTCTTATTGGAAACAACTTTTTCCTGCGATTTCTAGGTGAATATTTTAGAACTGAAGAATTTGCAGATCAGTCTCAGGAAAATCTAAGCTCTTCATCACTCAGAAGAAAGCTGTTTTTAGAAGAAAATGGAAGTGTATCTGCATGTTTGTCCCCTTCTCTGCATAGTCCATGCAGTAGTCAGCCACTTGGAGTGCTTTGTTCAATAGAATTATCTCCAGTCCGGTGCAGAAGCCCTCTGGACACATCTAGTTCAGTAAGTGGCTGTTTCGTGGGCTGGATGGGTTGTGCTTTATGAAGGAGTAGGTGCTAGACTTAAGGATGGTGGTTTGTTTTTTTTTTTTCCAAATTCAGAAAAAAATGTGTGAACTAAAAGTATTAAAAGAATATATTACTGACTTTTTATTTTATCAAATTATTTTGTTGTGCTGCTATTCTTTTGTATAGAAGGAATTATTTTCTAGTGTTATGAAATGGAAGTAGAAATTAAAACATGCAAAAGACTTGCTGAAAGCATGTTGAAACCTATTCTTCATAAAATGTGTATACAAAAAAAGTCCTGTTTAAATGCATGAACTACTCTCTAAAATACCAGTTGATATGAACTTATGATATAATTATTTCCCTGATAGCTCATAAACTCATTTATAGTGGAAGACATTAATGTGAATCTTTGAATGCAGGGCTAAATGTACTTTTTTCCTTTTCCATTGACCAGAGTTTTCAGATGAATAGACATTTATTAGAACACAGAACATAATGACTGTTCTTTAATTGAAACAAAGTAAACCTTATTCCTGGGTGGACATAGCACAGCGAAACTGGTTTAGGTGATATGGTGGCTGAAGTGCATGGAAAAAAACTACCCTAGGAATAGTGTGGCTTAAAAAAAAGTTTACTATGGTAACCTTGTAAAGAATTCCTATAACAGAATAGTAGTCACATTCTTGCAGTATAATGCTCTTTTCTTAAGGAGAAATAGTTTCCTGTTTTGCCTGCTGCTGAAGTAAGTAATTCAGAAAATATGGATTACATTAAAATATAGATAGTGGCTGACTTTCATCAGCATTGATATGAGCAAGAAATTTAGATCAGATACTTGACTAGATACACAGATAGCATTAATTCTCTGTTTAAGTTTCTCAGAGTTCTTAAATCTAATGGATGTAGTAGGCCTAGTTGGTATTATGTGACAGTTTGAGTCCATTGCTGTCTTCTCCTGTGTGGAGGCATAAGGTGCAGGTAAAGAGCTGCACTGAAATATTTAAGCTAAACTAATGATAGAGATTGTCACTGTAGAGGATTAGTCTTTCTCAGTGCTGGCATATTAAACTTTTAAATTAGAACACTCTGGAACACTTTTTATATATACATATTAGCCAAAGTTAATGTTATGAAAATATGCTGTGTGGTTTTGATTTTTTTATTTTTTTTTTTCCCTGAAGGGCCAGTTTTCTTCAAGTCCTATTCAGGGAGGAACAAGAGCTTACAGTCTGGGAAGTATAACCAGTCCCACATTTTCAGAGGGGTCTCCTGCACGTACTGGTTCTCCTACTTTTTCACCAATTGCTTTTCACATAAGAAAAACACCACTCTCAGGTATGGTTTAATTGTATATGTTGTTCTTTCTTGAGTCATATATTTTTATTTTAAAATTTTTTTATTATAAAAGTGTTTTGTTATAAAAACTGCTGAATTCTTAGGGGAACCCATTTCTGTTAGGAGACAAGTTATTATGCTTGGCAGACCAGCAGTCTCCTCCTATATGACACGTTTACTGTTTAGCAGTGAAATATGTGAGACAGTGAAATGTATATGCTTACAAAAAATCAACTAGGGAAAATTTTTAGAAGCAGACATTGAGACCTTAGAAGAGTGAAAAAAGTTAGAAGGGTTAATCTAGTGTGGGAGGGAGTTTAAAGCCACATGTCTGAACTGTCAGGTCACAATTCTGATTTGGCCCAACCTGAAGCATTTTAATGTCAATGGACAAAGAATGTTTAGATTGAGTTTTCAAATCATGCAATCATGAAGATTATTTGAAATGAAACTGATGAGTGAAGAAGTCACAAACATTTTGTGTCTTTGTTGCTCTAGAAAATGTCAGTATTTCATGCTGTGTCCCTAACCTGGAAAGGCTTTAACACCACGTTTATGCGTGATTTTGATGTTATGAGCCTTGTGGTATTTAACACCATTATATGTGGAGATTGCATATGTGTTTTCTCACTTGTTTGATCATCTTAAACTTTATTGCTGCCAAAAATTAAATACCTATAGAATATATGTATTGATACTTGTTTGGGAAAAACCCACAGAACCAGCCTTCACACACTTTCCTTTGAATACTGTGTAGTATTGCTATTTGAAAATAGAAGGTCTCCAGTGCAGTAAACCATGTCACAGAAAACAAATTTGGTGGTAAAAATGGGAAAGAAACTTGCCTTTACCATGATAGTTAGTATGTGCTGCTGGTTTGTTTGGGGTTGTTTGTTTGATTTGGTTGGGAGATTGAGGTCAGTGAAATGCTATTTAGTTGGCCCTTGAGGATGATGAATTTCTTCTATTAGCTATTATGTGGAATTTAGCTTTGTTGGTTTTTTTACAGACCAAAGAAAATTTACATTTCGTTCTCCAGATATTCCTTCTTCCTCGAATAGAATGACACCGCCAAGTACAAGAAGTCCTTACATAGATGGTTGTTCTCCAATTAAAAATTGCTCTCCTATGAGGCTTGGAGCTTGTAGAGGGACTGCCCAGTATCAGACTTCTGTCATTAGAATACCAATTGCAGTTGAGACTCATGATGAGGATGAGGAAGACAAGGAAAATGCTTCTCCAGCAGAAGCTCGGTTCCCAGAAATGGATAATGGAATAAACTTATGTCAGGAAGACAGTGATACTTTTGCACATGGTACACGTCTTGTGGTAGCAACTGTGTCTATTGCACCAGATCACTCAGAATCTTGTCATCAAAGGTTGTCATCATTTCAGGATATAGAAGGCTTAAAAGAAAATAATACTGTAGATATGGCTGATGCAGCTGAAGTGTCAGAGGAAAACACTTGGATAAAAGAAACAATTGGCAATAGCAATACACCAATGACCAGCTTTATGACAGGCATTACTTTCAGTATTGAAAGCTCTCGGATGTGCATGTCACCTCTTGCTGAAAGCAGTGCAATTCCTTGTGACAACAGTAGTATTCAGGTAAAAATAAAATTTTTTTTTGCTTCTCTGAAACTGAACCGGACATAATAACTTTGAATACATATATTATTCTGGAAGTAATTATTATTTTCTTGTATTGGTTGTGGCATGCTGGTGGTATCATGACTTTTATCGCTTCCCTCCCATCCCGTCTTTGCTCTCGGTGGAGTTAGCATAGCAATTACAAATTATTTTTGTGTTGCTCTGTACAGCAATGCATTTAACATAATCCAAGCTAATTCTGACAAACCTGCTTACAATTTGCTTTTGTTGTTAACTGATTGTAGTTGGTTTGTTGGATTAAGTTCTGTTAATCAAATGAAAATCATATCAAGTATCCGAGGGATTTATTGGTATTACAATTACAGTACATTTTTCAAGCCCTGCTTCTTGATTTCAGGTGGACAGTGGTTACAACACACAGACTTATGGAAACAGCATTATGGATACTGCGGGGACTGAAAACAGCTGCAGAGAAAATGATGTGAATACTGTAGTTTTTCAGAATAAATCTCAGATGCTTAGAACAAAGGTAGGAGTTAAATTGTGATACAAAAGTGAGAGGCTTCCCATCTAAAGCATCCATTCCCCATTTTGTTTGGTTCCAGGTAGCCTGAGGGGCGAGACAGTGAGGTGATATTAAAGATGTTAATGTAGTGTCATTTCAAGTATGTCGAAAATGGAGAATAAACGCAGGAAAAATTATCTTAAGGTGGCAATAAAATTAATGTGTTTTAAGACAAAGGCAGGTTTTTTCAGAGGAAACTGAGGTACATATGTGAATGGTAGTTGTGAGGCTTCAGATGTATTGGAGTCTGTCTCTTACTTTTGTTTCTGTTGTTCTTGCTGCTTTCTTTTATTGCTAAATTTCTAAATGTGTGCCTGTGGAGAAGGACATTTTTTGGGGAAAATCGTCCGCTGCTGATTTTCATAAACTCATTAGTAAGTTTCTTAGACCATACCTAGCATGCTGACTTGGTGGGGAACTTCCTGCTTGGGTACAGTACAAGTGCTTTGATTACCTATCTGAAAAAAACATTACAAAAGACAATACATATCTAGCAAGACTCCTAAACCAATAATATTGTGACTGATCGGAAGGAGTTCTGCTTCTTGTAGAGAATTGGAAGCAAGGCTGTTTTCCTTGGAGAAGAGAGCAAAGATCATCTCCTCTCACTTAGTAATTACGGTATTATGGTCTTACAAACTTAGTAGTTTATAGTCTGCGACTTAGTGGTGTTTACAGTGCTTGAAGGGCAGACAATACTGACCCGTAGTACCAAATTATAAAAAAATCCTCAAGTAGGCCCATTCAGCCCTGACTTCACTTCTGTATCTGACATGCTAATAGCCAACTCTCTGCCGAGGTGAAGTACAGACTGATGGTGTCTTACAGACCATTGACATCAAATTCTGAACTCTGCTCATTTAAGACTAGGATAAATGTGCCCTTACAAAATTAAAAGGAGATGGATATTTTATCTTTAACATCTAAAAATATACATCTACTCTGAGGTCTTGCCCCAGTCACCCTGTTGGACATGGATTAGATGTGTGAATGTACTTCCCAGAAACAATTGTATAGTATCAAACCTGACCTAGAGGGACTCACCAATGTTATGCAGCTTTCTTTTCCCACTATTAGTCTTTCAGTTGCTAGATCCTGACTAAGCCAAATTTTGCATTTCAGATTAGTATTTAAGTATGAAGGCATTAAGTACTTCATTCAACTCTCACAAGAGAGAGAACCTCCAGAGAATGGAAATAAAAAAGCACAGACACTGCTGGCAGAAAGAATAGAGTCTGGCTCATTCAGAGCATGTGAGCTCTGAAAGGAGGTGGTTTTTGCTGACAGCATGTTTCAAAGATCTGTGCAGAGAAAACGTATTATTTCATTTCTTTCTCATTTCAGAAGGGGAGAGACGGTACTTAAGGTACTTATTGTACTTGAAATTTGCAGATAGTAGGTTTGGATCTTATTTCTTATGGAGAATTTCTGTGAAAATGGTTTTAAAATTAACTTTTCCTTATTGATCTAGGAGTGTTCTGTTTTAAGCCATAAGGACAATCAGTTGCTGAGAGCAAAATCTCCAGAGATGCAATCCTGTTTCCAAAAGGCAAAAACACATACTACAATATTTGGAAAAAATGCAACTTGCAACATTTCTGCTTGGAAACATAAAAATGAAAATCAAGGTCAGGGATTTCACAAAACTGGTATGTAGTTTTCTGATGGAGAATTTAAGTTGTGTTGTCTAATAAATTTTTATACATATGATCTCAGTTACCTGGATTATACCTAGCTTTTTGCTTTGTTAATGCAAATGTAATAAATTGTCTGTTATATATTAAGGGAGTTTTTAAATAAAGTGGGATTTTTCAGGTCTTATGAACAAATTTATTGGTATTAAGTGATCCTTTTTTGAAAATTAAGGTGTCTAGAGTTAGTACAGAGAAGCAATACTTTTTTTTCAGAATTGTGTTCCTTCTGTGATTAGGGTAGATTCCATGAGGAGCCTTGCCTTGAAAGTTTGGACATAGCTTCAACTTCCAGATGGGTGTTTTATAGATTGAGCAAACCTAGGATAACTTGCATAGGAACAAACGTAACTGCAAAACCAGCTACATTTTAAGATTTGTCCCTCCTAAAAGCATGAGGGACATTTTTTTTGTGGGGGAGAGAAAAAGGAAAGGAATATTAATTTTGATTTGGATTGCTTGTCCCCAGTCAGATTTATTGTGTGGCTTCATGAATACTAGCACTGGTACCAAGAGTGAGTCACTGAACAGAAATGAACTGCTGGGGGTGTGATGAGAGCAAACCCCAAAGTTTAGTTCTTTTAGTAATACAAAATAAGCTTTATGTCAAAAGCAGCTATTTAGCAGTTCTCTGAACAGCTTTTAGCTTGGTTTGACAGAAGGCTGCCTACCTGTCAGTTAGATTTACCATGTACTTGAGTGAAATGTATTATTGGTTATTTAAAATTAAATTGTAGTGTTGTTGCTTTAGTAATTGTATTAGTACTAACCTTGGAGCTGATCACCTGACTCCACCAGTGTCTCCTAAGAACACTTGTGTCCAAATTGATGCTCCAGTACACTTTGGAAGGAACTCAAGAAGGTGCACTAAGATTAATTGTCTCAGTACATCACTAAGAGAATGGTGCAGCCTTTCTTCTATCAAAGTAAACCATTACACTTTTACTTCTCTCTTATGTTGAATTCTCAGTATTATTATGTTGCTTACAGAAATTACCAAAATATTTATATAAACCCTTAAAAATATAATTAACTTTTGCATGCCACTTATTTCAGAAAGTATTAATATAAACAAACCCTCAATGCTTTCAAGAAAATCATCGACGATTAAAGTAATGAATTGAGGAGGGTCTAGAATCCCAGAACTCCCTTTGTCTAATCCAATCAGATTTGGTTACATTTGATTGGATTTGTTTAAAAGAACCTTGTGGCATTTATAAATCTGAATGGGGAAAAAAAAACCCCATGTGGTAATCTTCTAGTGACTAAGAGAGGAAGAAGAGATAAGGGAAATACTGAGATTTCCAAGCTCTTTTTACGTAGAGCTCTGGAGTAAATTTTTTGGGTTAATGAAAATCATAAGTCCGTTCTAATATGTATTCCAGGTGAAGTAGTCTGTCTTAGCAAGTATGTTCAGTCCCAGGGTGCTGGATGGCTGCTTTCTGTTCTATTCCACAACCCACAGAAAAGCTTGTACCAAAGTGATAGGTGGTGGCTGATGAGTAGCTATTGGCACACTAAGCCTGAAACCATTGGTCAGACCTAAATTTGAAGGCAAAAGACAGCATTTTTTTAAAACTTCTGTGAGCAGAATTGCATGGCATTAAAATCAACATGTTAGACCTGAGACTTGCGTGTGTTGTTTGAATAGAACAGTTCTTGAAATATTTTCATTGATAATTCACCAGTGAAGGCTTTCTGAAAAACATACTTAAGAAAAAGGGAAGCTTCTATACACAGCACTTGGTTTTACTTCTCACATTGCAGAAATAAATATAAGAAAATTTACTTTAGTTTTCTAACCAGCAACCATGATGTGCATTATATTTACTTCTGTAGCACTTTAATCACTATTTCTGTAATGCATATTGGATTGACAGTAATTGAATCTAGCATCCTAAATTATCTATTTCATGATCTTCAACCAGTGCTCTACTAAAAGCTGGAAATACACAGACTTGGTAACTTTTAGGGGATGATTTTGTTAAAAGTAGGAAATGAACAATATACTTCATTGTATGTGAACTTATACAATAGAGCCTTCAAAATGTTCTTAGCTTTAGCTTGTAAGTTTTGTCACTCAAAAGCAGGACATAACTTGTCTAAGGTTTATAAGTTATGTATGACCTTGTGTCTTTTCTGTTTCTCATGACAGTTTTCTTTAGCAATAATCAATTGAAAGGAGGAATTTCAGATTTCTGGACTGTACACACGATTTATTTTTGCAACTATGATTACTAAAAATAGTACTGTTAATTTAACAAATTTAAGAAGCAAATTATCTTTTTCTGAACTGTTCTGCATTATATATGTAATTAGGAATGGGTTATATTTTTTAAATAATTTTTTGAATTTTTAATAATATGTTCAATGATTGGAGGCTTTTGAAGTATTCACAAATAAAAAATCTATCATTAAAATATTTAATTTCACCCTGTATTAGTACGTTCTTAAAGGTTAGGGAAAAGTAACAGCAGAAGTGTGTGAATGGGAGAAGTAAATAAGGATCCCCCCAAGTAAATTGCCTGTATTTTCTGTCCTGTTTTGTAGTCTTCAGTTAGATGGGAAATATTTATTTTATGAAAACATGCATATATTTTTTTATTGTGTTTTGTACAACAGATTTGGAGAAGAAACCTACTGTGCAAATTACCATGGAAATAACTTGACCATTCTGTTTCTGTAGTTGTTCTTAATGCATTGGTTGGCACACATTGCACAAAACGGTCATTGTTTACATTAAATTAATTTCAGTAGTTTTAATGAGAGTCCTTTAACATGTCTAATTGTAAATTGAGTAGAGGAACAGAATAAAGACATCTCTTTCATACCTATGTTGTTCAATTACTTCTTTCAGTTTGGAGGTGCTAAAGAGAATGCACTGAAGAGACAGACTTCTGTCAAGCTCTCAAGCTGTTAAAAAGAAACCCTACATTCATTCCTTCAGTTTGCAGAAACATTTATTTTCACCCACAAGACAAAGGTGTAGATAATAGCTGGTTTTAAAAATACTGTTCTGCATACATAGTCATAAAAAAGTTGCTTAAAAAAATTTTTACAGATTATTAAAATACGTATTTAAAAAGTAAACAAAACTATTTTCTTGCATTTTGCCCATAGGGAAAAAATAAGTAAATGCAAATAATTGTGTGATTTCTTGTTAACTTTTATATTCAGCTATTTTTGTAGCTTCTTTTTCTTTTTCTCCGGTTCATTCTCACTGCTCGCCTCTGTAGATGGATTTGCAGACACATCCTTTCCTAGTATCTACAGTAAGGGAAAAAAAAAAGAAGTCAAAACATTTTTGACTCAATTTTTTTCTATCCTGGTAAAACTTGAGTTTACTTGTACAAACTTTTACATACAGTGCATCAACGTCAGAACCTTTTGATTTAGAAAATCATCTGCTACAAGACAGTGTGGGGATCAGAACTGGGAAAAGATCAAATTTACAGACCAAGACTATAGACTGGACCCAGAGATCTGCTTCTCTCTGTGAGACAGTATTTAAGTGGCTGGAACCTTTGGATGGACACAAAGGGAATGATCACTGCGTGTGCATCTTATTCCTATATTCCTTTCTAACTGGAAAGGAAGACTAGTAACTGATATTTAGGATGACGGAGTATTTTGGATTAACCAGTACAGCCAATCGTGGATCAAGGGATAACCTCAAATTACAGCATTTATTTTGTTGTAGAGTAAGGACCTTCCCAGAAATTCGTACAAGCAGAATGGAAGAACAGGGGAAAAAACCCCAAACCATCAGCTTGTATTAGTCTTACTTTGTGTCTGTTTTAAAAGTGTGTCCCTTGGACTGGAGTCACAGCTGCAGGAATGTTCCTGAGTCATGCCCCTAGCAGTAGCTCTGTTGGTGAGCTTAGTTGGTGAGCACAAACAAGGAGCAGCTCAGAAAGTGGATGTACAACAGAATACAATGGTTCCTTTCTATTACAAATTTCATTATCTGCTCTCAGTTTTTAAAATCACAAGGATTAGTTTCAACTCAGTCCAGTCTGAAGAGGATGAACAGATGGAGAGCAGCCCTACCAAGAAGGACTTCGGGGTGCTGGTGGATGAAAGCCTGGACATGAGCTGGCTATGTGTGCTTGCAACTCAGAAAGGCAGTTGGATCCTGGGCTGCATTGAAAGCAGAGTGGCCAGCAGGACAAGGGAGGTTATTTTGCCTCTCTACTCATCTCTGGTGAGACCCCATCTGGAGCACTGCATCCAGCTCTGGGGTGCCCACCACAGGGGGATGGAGCACCTCTCCTATGAGGGAAGGCTGAGAGAATGGGGATTGTCCAGCTTGCAGAAGAGAAGGCTCCAGGTAGACCTCTGAGCAGCCTTCCAGTACCTGAAGGGACACTACAAGAAGGCTGGAGAGGGACTTTTCACAAGAGCTTGTAGTGACAGAAGTGGGAAGGGTTTTAAGTGGGCAGGTTTAGATTAGCTATTAGGAACAAATTCTTTACTGTGAGAGTGGTGAGACACTGGAACAGGTTTCCCAGAGAAGCTGTAAATGCCCCATCCCTGGAGGTGTTCAAGGCCAGGCTGGATGGGGCCTTTGAGCAACCTGGTCCATTGGAAGGTGTCCCTGCCCATGGCAAGGCGGTTGAAACTAGATGATCTTTAAGGTCCCTTCCAACCCAAACCATTCTATGGTTCAAGATAATAAAAGAGCTCAAAGATCAGAATATTTACATGCATTTGGAAACATGATTTCTCAAGGAAAAAAGAAATAATAATGTTTGACTGTATAAACAACAAGGAGCTCTTGCATATTTTGGGTTGTCTTTTTCCTCTATGATTAGGGCTACTCAATTACTGCAACCATATGTTTACAAAGAAAGTCACATGTAACTTTAAGTGCACAATCTTGTAATGTCTTGCAAAATACTTAACAGGCCTAAGGTGTGAGACCAAGTGAAAAGCCCAGTGTCCCAGATGCACTAATAAGCTGGAATTGAAAAGTCTTAAGCCAGAGGCAGTTACTAGGACATTACACTTCTTACAACATTATCAACAGAAAACTTTTATATTGTGGGAGTTGTAGGACAGAACTGCCATGACAGCCAGCAATTATACCGAGTTAACTTCTGAGCCACCCATCACACTGCAATTCACTGGAGCAAGAAGATCATACTGAGTTTTGGCAGATTTTCAAAGAGAGATTTGATTACAGAACAGTGAAATTCAAGATACTACTTCAGCAAATCATCACCTTTCCCATCAACGGAAATATCCCAATGGGCCCAGAACAGAAATTTAATTTAGACACCTCTATTCTTTTCAACAGCCAGTGAAAGCAGACCTCTGTTCTACCGAGAGTGGATATGAAGCAATCATCACAAGCTCCTGCTAAATTGTTTTTCTTTTCTTCTGGTTAAATTTCAATTTTACCACATGACAATTTTGTAACATTATTGAAGGGTAATATGGTTCTGTGAATTTTGTGCCTTACCTTCGGTTCTACCAAGACCATCCGCATTTTCTGATGTTGGATGTTGGAATCATCTAACGTAATGTTCACTTTAACTTTATCAAATACATGTAATGTTGTGTCTTCCACAGTAAGTGATGGTACCTGAAAGTTCATATTTTGTATAAATACTTGCAATGTCTTACGTTTTTATAGAAATAAATATTTTTGTAGGAAAATTCAATCTTACATGTAAATAAAAATGGTCACAAATTAGTGCCATAATATCTGGTACACATAATTAGATATCAACAGTATCACAGAAACCTGTTTGTCAGAACCTGTTTATTTAGACTTACAAATACTATAGCAGCACTACTACTATGGATTAATAAACTTGCATTTAGAAAAACCTCTTGTACCCTTCTAAATCCAACTACAATACATTTTAGTCATTCTGCTCAATTACCAAATAAAAAAATAAAGGTATTTAAGAGCCAACCTTAAGAATAATAATAACACACCTCATTGTTGTAATCCAGTTTTGGTGTTGGTTTGTCTTTTTCTTCAAAGAAGACTGTTCCTTCTAACCCATACTTAGGGATCAGAACCACAATTGCATTTTTTCTTACAAATAATATATATGCATCTTCATTTACTACTCCCTTGGTTTTGAAGAATAACTGTAACAAAAGTAAAATACAGAAATAAGAAAAAAAAGCACTAGAACATTCTCTTCTGAATTACAGATATACTGCCTTAGAAAAATAAAACATTCAAATACCAATCTATACTTAATGAGAATTACACAGCATATATTGAAGACAGATTTAAAAAAAACCCATAAACCATTTATAACATTACTGTAGTATTAAGCATTCACCATATTTATAAAAAACACAAAACTAAAAGACCTCTTAAGATGCCATTATTCCGAATTTTTCAGAACAAGCAATGTAGCCTTTAAGCTTTTCCTCAAAGTATCCCTCAGCCTTGATCACTTCTGCAGACCTACTTGGTTTTGCACTATAAAGTACCAGTGTTCCCCCCCTTGCTTTAAAATGAACGTGAATGTCCATGGTTAACCCTGTAACGTCTCAGGACTACTTACCTGTGTATGGAATGCAACAGATGCTCTTTGTGCATATTGTGCCATTTTATGTCGGTAATTGAGAGTTTTACACATATCTGCTAGTTTATGTTTATCTGTCAGTTCTGGGTAAGTACTGTCTGCTCCTATGGCCACTGCCAAAAGCCGATGCACTATAATATCAGCATACCTGCAGAGATGAGGTTAAACGATCAATGACATAGCAAAACATAGTTTTTGAAAATTAAAAAGTTTCTGAATATAAGTTTGGTTTTGTGAATCTTGCAGATCTAAAAGTCTTTGTAATAATGACAGTCTGATGGCAACTCCCTGAATCAATTCAAGATCACTCTCTTTGCTGACCAAAGATGCACTGCAGAGCCAGAATGAACTATACTGTTTTCTATATTGTATCAATAGAGTCTGTATTGTTGAATGCTTACAAAGAAGAAACAAAGTTTTATTTTTGGATTAAAGAATGTTTCACCATGGCATCTTAAACTAATCCCTCTCGCCTTTGCCATGAACTAGACAAATTTAGCGTAGAATAGTATTACAATGCCATTGATCTGCAAAACATAATCCCATTTGAACTTCTTAGTACATAACTTTTATTAGAACCTCAGCAAGGAACTTTTTAACACATCTAGTAGGAATTAAAATTACTATTTGGATGCTAGAAGTTCCCCAAATTATCCACATAAACGTGTAGGAATTTTAATCCGCATGTAAAGACATTTCACTTGAAATGTTTCTAAGGAGCAAAAGATGATAACAGTTATTTTCCTCAAAACTCTGATAATCCTTGGTTAGAATTAAAAAAACAACCTACTTTTTGAAGTATGATTTCATTACAAGGCAACAGCTACAAAAGCAAGTTTCCAATTAGCAGTGTTTGTAAAGTACAGTCTCCTCAAAATTTAGGCACAGCTTCCATCTAAAAAGTGACTAGGCAAACTCTGCCTCAGTCTCTGGTTGAGATTAATGCTAACTGACCCCAAAGTGCATTTCTATGACAGAGATCTGTATTAGGGATATATTTCTATTATTTTTATGGGTCTTTTAAAAAAATGTACTAAATCTTAAGAGTTGTGGACAATAAATTTGGGAGCTTACATGAAGATGGATCATGATCTAAGCCACTGCTGTTTCAACTGAAATCTAACACTGAACAGAAACAGTACTTTGTTTCAAACAGAGCACTACAATTTAAAATAGAATTTCTTCACAAATAAATCACTTCTTTTTGTTCTCTGAAACTTCTGTAAAATAAAAGTACCTTCTAATAGGTGAGGTAAAGTGGGTATAAATAGGTGAAGCTAAACCATAGTGATGAAAATCATTATCCATTCCAGAGCAGAAATAAACAGCTTGCATCATGCAACGAGTGGTCAAAATTCGCAACAGTGTATTTAGGTAGGGGAATGTAGGAGATTCAGCTTTGTCTAGTGATTCAGCTAAAGCCTTCGCTGAATCTGTCTTGATTTCCAAATTCTGAAATGAGAGAAGAAGAAATATAATAAAGGTCAGGTATTACTAGCAAATGTTAAGAGTATAAGCAGAAATGCAACAGCTACATCCATGGTAATCTTAGCAACTGGCACAGGTATCACACCTAATAACATAATGGAATGCAACTATTACAAAAATAAAAATCTACCCACGCGCAGGTCCCTCCCTCATTATTACTAGCGTTCTGTGCAAAAAATGAAATGTCATTAGCCTAGGAATTCAGAAAATACATCAATTCTCAATGAAAAAACACTGTATGCCAATATTACTAAGTTGCTTTTTCCCCCGAATAAATCAGAAGGAATATAATGCCCCCCATATTTATGCCACACAGAGATTTTCATCCAAGCACAAGGTAATTGACTTTGTTGTATTTCCTCCGCAAAATTATTATAAAAGTGATTTGTAAAACTAGTACTGTATGTCAATACTGTTTGCCAGTTTTCTCCGATAAAAATTTAGATAGTGTGAAAATACAGTGCATTTCAGATTTTCAGAAACACAAAGCAAGTTTCATCACAAGATCAGTTGAATGCTCTTTCCTTCATGTACACCACTGACAACAAAGTATGATCCAGCGATCAAATTATGCCTGTATTATGGTAAAATAACTGCATATTTAAAAAGTATAAATATAGCATATTAATACCTAATTGTGATGGTTGTGTCAAAAGTAGTGAAAAAAACTCTTTGGTTTATTTAAAAGAATGTTTATCTACGCACAGAAATTTACCTTTCCAAATAAAACAGCACTTTAAAAATAATTTTCAGAGCACAAATGAAATCATTATCATTATTCCAATTTTATGCCAGTGGAAAATTAAATGGGCTAGGTTTCGGCTTGTCTGTTAATCTCACACTGAGAGATTTTGGGAGTTTCTCTCTTGCCCTTAGGAAATCAGAAGAAAGGGGTGAGGAAAGAGTTGAAGGGAAAGTAAATATGGATGCACATCAGAGTATCTACAAAGTTAAAAGTTTAGCTCGAATAAAAGATCCTGAAACTGAAAAAATAGGTTTTTTTGTTCAGACTTGTTTCAGGCTAAATAAACCTTTAGCTGATCTAAGGAGAGGATGGAAACTATAAACACAATTTCTTACTTCCTGACTTTGAGAGAAACATATTCGACTTGACTGACCAATTTTTAAGTACATCAATAATGTATATGATCCAAAGCCAAAAACTGGCTCAAAAATCACATGTGACTTGGAGAGGAGAAACATTCACAGCATACAAGTGTTACAATACAAGACTTTAGAGAGTGATTTACTTTCTTAACCTAAGAAAGGGTTTAAAAAACTCAAGAGTCTTCCTTTCATCTAGAGGTACAATTATCTTGCTACAAGTATCAGCACTTTCAAAGGGTAACTGATACACTTTCAAAATACTGCTTTCCAACCCTTACTCTTGGGTAAGTGGCCAACCAGAGAGAATACATGGCTTTTCATAATGCTTTTCATAATGAATTCACTTAATTAACATGGTAAAAACTTGCCTTGGACTTCGCAGCCTTCACAAGGATGTCATAATTTGATGGGGGAGGAGCAGGATGTTTCCGGAGCAAGGCAAACTCTGGGAACTCATCGTAAATTTTTTGTGCTACAGAAATGTTGGCAAGCAACATGAACTCTTCAACCATGGAGTTTGTTTCTCTATCGTGATAAAATATTTTATATTGTTAGAAATGCATTAAATTATACATTTATTTTGAGTGCCTAATGAAGAAACATTTCACAATCCTAACAATATTTTATAATATTAACTAGTGGTTTTGATCATTTATACCCTTAGGCAAGCAATTCCAAGACTAAAAACATAACACTTATTAAGTTTCAAATAGAGTCAGAAAAAACCTGAAATACTCTAGAATATCAAATTAAAGAAAAATGCTCTTTAAAAGGCCTGAAAAGGCCAACAGATAAGCCTCTTGATTTCTTCCTAAGGGTACTGTTAAAATATTGCACATATGAAGTTTGAAAGCACCATTTTGCACACCATAAAGTTGTGACAGTATACAGAACCTAGTGTAGATTTTAGCACAGAAGCTAAGTAGTAGTATGCGAGACAGTATTTTATCTTCAGAAATGGAATCAATAGTTCTGTTACTAGAACTCCTCTGTAAAATTGTAGCACTGCGTTTGTGCCATAACTGCTCAGTTGTTCGTGAAGTTTCAGTAATCTTTAACTTCCAAGTTCTAATTTCTTTCCTTTGTTACTACCAGTAGAAAAGCACCACAGAGAAGCCAGTGGGATGTAGAGTTTGAAACTTAGTGCTCTGTTGAATCAGTAGTAAATACACCAGTTCATATATGAAGAATACAGTTCAAAACTTGCTAAACTAGTAGTGGAGTACAGGAATTCTCTTCCAAGGATCAGCTTGCTCAGTGAAGTTGTCGATGTCCCATCCCTGGAAATATTCAAGGCCAGGTTGGGTGGGGCCTTGAGCAACCTGGTCTAGTGGAAGGTGTCCCTGCCCATGCCAGGAGAGTTGGAACTAGATGATCTTTAAAGGTCTCTTCCAACCCAAATCATCCTCTCATTCTATGACCGTCCTGCACTATTATAGGAACTTTGTACACTATTAACTGAATGTTTCTACTTAAACATGTCTTTAAATCAATCCCTACCCTGAATTAACTAATAAATAAA